TTTCACCAAACCAAATTGAAATCCTTGAATTAAATAATGAAACTATACACAAATATGTTTTGTTATTTCGTAGGAATAGCAAAATATGGTAGAGAGAATAATAATATATTCAATTCATTGGCACGAGTACAACGATTTTCGTGTTGTCTTCAATATCGTCGAAATACCTACACCTTCCCCAGTTGTATTTCGGGAAGCGTCAATTTATTTCAGAACAATCACTTGTATTTCAGAAAGCATCAATTGTGTTTCAAAAAAGTCAATTGAATTTCAGAAAGAGTCAATTGTATTTCAGAATTATCACTTGTATTTCAGAAAGCATCAATTGTATTTCAGAATAGTCAATTGAATTTCAGAAGTTAAATTGACTATTCTGAGAAACAATAGGCGAGTGAACTATTTTTTTAAATTCCTATATAGAATCATCATTCAAATACCTTTCAATTTCATATTTTGTAAGAATTTTTTGGTGGATTTTTAGGTGCTAAAATCATCAATAATGCGACGGTAATTTTCAAACGGCCAGAAATTTACCGCCTGTTAGCATCTAGCAACTAGATGCGCTACTGCTCAGTGGAATGTGCTTAGATCAGAGCCTATGACAGACGTGTGTGAAGACTGGTTCATATAGTATTCGGCAGGTAGCCGAGTTGTGAGCAAGTGTAACCCTTGTCCATGTCAATTGTGCTCGTGTTTATTATATTATGACCATAATATAACACCGCCAGTAAAAACTGACGACACGATTTCGTGTGTAGGGACAGACCGCATAGTTGCCATGTGCTGAAAGACGATTGGGAACTTCAGAAATATTAGTTATTCGATAATTCATGAATTCTCAATTGAGTATTGGCAATGTTCCTAATTAGCAATAAAAATTCAATTGTCTCAAAAGGTTCCATCATGATTTGTGGCTTATTGCTTATAATAAATTTGAACGTGACAACAACGGCGCACGACTTGTGGGCGTGGTCTTGTCAGTTCTCTTCAATCAGCACAATGTTGCCAAGTCACCAACATTCACATGATATTTCGTTATGGAGAATAAGAGATATTTGGACATGCTGGTTTCCAGAAAAAGTCCTTGGTTCCTCATATGATGTTTTATTCAACGACAGACCTCTTACATCTTTTTCATAACTTGATTATAATTGGTGACTTGACAACCTTGCTCCATGAGTGGAAATGGAAGATCATCTGACCAATAACGGAAGAGAATAAAAACTGATGTCACCATTTATTCGACGTATCGCCAAATGGCAGCCATGAAGGTTCGTTTGAAATGAATTCAACAAAGGACCCCGCACTTTTTGTACGGAAAATGGCTTTCGGTTAATTATTCTGAAAAGGACCCCGCACGAAAACACGGGAAATTGGCTCTCGGTCGAATTGGCTGAAATTTTACTATGCTGTTGTGGGATGGCTCAATAGGAAAATCTGTGAGTTTAAAAAGTTTTGTATGTTGAGTTTCTGAGATATAAGCCGACAAAGTTCGTGAAAACGTCGTATTGGGGTAGGATTGACAAAGAAAAAAACTGTTTTTTTAGTATAAATAAGACAAAATAAGCTAGAAAATGTATTGATCGGAACTCGAATACATGTCTAGTTATGAACACATAAATTATAGTAAATCATTGTGCATACGAGGCACGATCAAAAAATTCATTTTTCGGAAAAAAAATTCGAGCACTATTCCAAAACCAATAAGTTATATTTTGGTGGGACATCATAGTTTTAGTCTATTGTAGGCTTCAAAAACGTATTTTGATTCTTGATAACTATCTCAGTTCGAGATATGAATTTTTAGAATTTTGTGTTACACCCCTTTTTGGAAACAATTGACAGCTTGTTTTTGATCACAAAGAAAGGGATTGATTGATACAGTTGATTGAATGAAAGCTGATGTGACTCACTAGCGATTTCAGTTGTTCAATATTGCCTTTCATTTAGATACAGGGTGTGTTAGATTTTGTTGGAGATTATTTAACATGTTTCAATTGAATATCTCGAAAACAGTTCCGTTAATTTGGATCTCATTTTACTGACACTATTTTGAATATGTTGACTATCATATGCGAAAAGTTTTTCAATTTTTTATGTTTCGTTTCTGAGATATAATTTTTACAGTATTTATTATATTACAGGTATTATAGGGTTATTACCTTGGATATTACTATCGATTCAACAGAACTTTACGGAATCTTTCGAACATTCAATTACATTATAGGACTATTAGAAATCAATAATTTGGTACTATAAACAATAATAACCACATTGAAAAACAATATGAAACTCGACAGTATGGATTCCGTAAAGTTCTGTTGAATCGATAGTAATATCCGAGGTAATAACCATATAATACCTGTAATACTGTAAACTCAAAAATGCATATCTCAGAAACAAAACATAAAAAATTGAAAAACTTTCTGCATATGATAATCAACATATTCAAAATAGTGTGAGTAAAATGAGATCCAAATTAACGGAACTGTTTTCGAGATATTCAATTGAAACATTTTAAATAATCTCCAACAAAATCTAACACACCCTGTATCTAAATGAAGAGCAATATTGAACAACTGAATTCGCTAGTGAGTAAACTCAGCTTTCAATAAATCAACAGTATCAATCAATCCCTTTTTCTGTGATCAAAAGCAAGCTGTCCATTGTTTTCCAAAAGGGGTATAACACAAAATTCAAAGAATTCATATTTCGAACAGAGATAGTTATCAAGAATGAAAATACGTTTTCGAAGCCTACAATAGACTGAAACTATAATGTCTCACCAAAATATAACTTGTTAGTTTTGGAATAGTGCTCGAACTTCTTTTTCGAAAAATGAATTTTTTGACCGTGCCTCGTATAAACCCTGATTTATTATAATTTATGTGATCATAACTTGACATGTATTTGAGTTCCGATCAATACATTTTCTAGCTTATTTTGTCTTATTTATACTAAAAAAACAGTGTTTTTCTTTGTCAATCCTACCCTGATACAACGTTTTTACGAACTTTGTCGGCTTATATCTCAGAAACATATTTTTCTAATGAGCCATCTCACAACAACATAGTATAATTTCAGCCAAATCGACCGAGAGCCAATTTCCCATGTTTTCGTGCGGGGTCCTTTGATATGTTTCAGATATTAGCGTCCTTATTGCACAGTCCAATTTACAGATCGATCCAATGACCAGTTTTCGAGCTACAGGGTGTCAATCATTTGATTTTGGCTGTTTAGAATATTTTGCGTCGATTTGAATTATGCGCTCTAAGTCGTGATAAATCTTCAGAAGAAATAATCGCTCTACGTCTAACTTCTACCTCATGAATCCCTCTATTCGAATAGATGATAATATCACATACAGGGTATTGCATTCCAGCATGACAAGGTAAAAAATATCAGAATTCCGATTTTTACTCAATCACTGAAAAATTGAAAACAAACGGCTAGAATCGGTCAACTATTTGACACACTATGGATCTTGATCATCAACATGATGATTCACATGATTTCTTCTGATACAATGTCCGGTTTGCCTTATACAGTGTGTCCCACTTACCATGCTCACCATGGGTATATTTTAAACGGTGAGAGATACGAGATGTGGAGTTTGTCAAGGCCAACTATAATGTGAAAAAATATTTAGATAAAATCTATTCGTTTTTGTTTTATACGCAAAAAAACAGATTTCGATCATTTTCATGTCTCCTCCGTAACTTCTGTATTTATGAAAATATTCAGATGGGAATTTCACATTCTCATGGCAGTTTTTCAAAGTGATTTCGAGAAAAATTTGAAATTTATACCAACTCTTCTAGAATTTGAGATATCAGCACCAACTTTAGTTTTTCAAATGTAGGTCATAGCTCACTATGACATAGTTACAAATAACTCTTTTTTCTCTCACAGATGATATGTCGCAGTAATAGTTTCGTGTTGATAACAACGGAGTTATCGTCATTTATACAAAATAAAAGATTATTTGGGAGCCACCATCTTGAATTTATGAATTTTAACAAAAAAATCATGATCTGCGACCTCAAGAACCCCCACTTACCAATTTTGAACGGAATCGGACCAAATCTTGTCCGCCATCTTGTAGCAGCCATTTTTTTCAATTGATGGCGGACAAGATTTGGTCCGATTCCATTCAAAATTGGTAAGTGGGGGTTTTTGAGGTTGCAGATCATGATTTTCTGGTTAAAATTTATAAATTCAAGATGGCGGCTACCGAATAATTTTTTGTTTTTGTATAAATGACGATAACTCCGTTGTTATCAACACAAAACTATTACTGCGATACATCATCTGTAAGAGAAAGAAAAGTTAATTGTAACTAAGTCATAGTGAGCTATGACCTATATTTGAAAAACTTAAGTTGGTGCTGATATCTCAAATTCTAGAAGAGTTGGTATAAATTTCATATTTTTTTCGAATTCACTTTGAAAAACTGCCATGAGAATGTGAAATTCCTATTTAAATATTTTCATAAATAAAGAGGTTACGGAGGAGACATGAATATGATCAAAATCTGTTTTTTGCGTATAAAACAAAAACGAATAGATTTTATCAAAATATTTTTTCACATTATAGTTGGCCTTGACAAACTCCACATTTGGTGTCATTTAACCGACCTCGTATCTCTCACCGTTAAAAAGATACCCATGGTAAGCATGGTAAGTGGGACACACTGTATAGGGTGATGACAATTTGAAAGCTTAGAATTGATGTTACTCATGTACAAAATGAGATACATATCATTCTGAAATACAATTGACGGTTTCTGAAATTCTATTGACTATTCTGAAATACAACTAGAAAAGGTGTAGAATATATTTCTATTGATGAAAAGCATCAGCTGCGATTGTTCTTATACACTTCTCTCCCGCAGAATTTTGCCTTTGGACTGGTGAAAACCTCCAAAATTAGACCATCCATAATTCACCCAGTCTGTTCTGAGGAGTTGCAAGAAAATAAATCAGGTGTTAGTGGTTTACCTTCGGGTTCTTTGGCTATAACAGTAGAACTTCTATCGACTCCACCTTTCTTATCCTCTGAGCGATGCCCAGAAAATCAAATAAATTATCCTTGTTGCCAATAACATTCACATCATGGGGAGAAATTAGTAGGTAGTTATCAGGTTGAAAACGTGAATGAGAGTTTGTGCCCCAAAAAGATACCTACTGTGCGATAAGAAATGGCCGAACGAGATGATATCGATAGCAAATGAAGAAAATTCACTGAAAAATACTCACTGAGAATAAGAGGGTGGGAAATAATAGAATGAATACATGGCAAAAAAAAACTATATACAATGTGTTCTTTCATGAATTGGCAAAATCATAGAACATACACAGGGTGTCCCGAAATTAGATAGAAACATCTCAACCACAGATTCTTCTTGAGAAATTTGATCAAATCGGTGCCAGGCTCGTTATTGACTACATTCAGGAGATCATTCATCATTTGTTCTTATTAATCAAGGTTTCTCTTTGCTGGCGAGTGCTAAAAAAACGAGGTGGAAATAGGTGATATCATATCAAGTTGTAGATGATTTTTCGAGTTGTTGAAAAATCCATACTCTCTTAAACACTTGTATCTTTTCCCAAAAAGATGATATTGGCGTGAATCAAAAACCATTGCATTGAGGAGGGATCACATTTCAATCCAAAACATAATTAAGTGAAGTTTCATCATTCACTTTCTCCACAGGGCTTTAAGAAGTTAGGTGTAAAATAGTAACTTTTGTTTTTCCCTGTATAATGATCAAGCCATCACCTTCCTTGAAAACTGAAAGTCAGTTGAAGATTTCGAAACATAAATATCTACGATTTGGTCGAAATTTCACCAAAATCTGAAAAGAATTGAATAAAAACAACTACGAAATAGCCAAAATGCTCAAAAGTGGAATGAAATGTTGAATAAATTCAAAAAGCTCAATGTAATATCCACACAATGTTCATAAAATAAACAACAATGGTAGATTTCGGGAGAAAAACAACTACTTTCCTGGCTAATCCCACTCAGAACATTGAATTACATCCTCCCGAAATCTATGCATCGACTGGTATAAACGACTAAGCGTATAATACTCCCCCATAGGCGTCCTTCATAGACAATATGAAAGCAACGCCATCTGAGTAGAAACGAAGGAAAGAAACACTCCAAAACTGAAATTCCCATACGGGAGTGGCTGGTTGCCCGACTGGCGTGATTTCAACTTCGAAATAGCCACAATGCTTTGAATTACATTCTGCGTGGCATTAGCCAGGAAAGTAGTTGTTTTTCTCCCGAAATCTACCATTGTTGTTCATTTTATGAACATTTTGTTGATATGACTTTGAGCTTTTTGTATTTATTTAGAATTAAATAAGTTACCAGATGGCAATGATGGTATTTACAAAAAAAAAACATCATCTCGGGCTCATTTTGAGGTGGCTATTACCCCCTAGGAGTCATTTGTGGACCCACGTTTATTCGATTTTTTTTTACTATTTTTATTCTCAGAATCTGTGGTCAAAATCTTCCTATGATTTGTTCTCAATTAAAATAATGGTTCAATTAGTAAAAATACTGTGTTGTGTTATCTGCTATATACAGAGTGAGTTTTATGTATGGAACGCCTCAATTATCTCGGAAACGGATTGCACGATTTTTATAGATTTTGGTGTGCAAGGGTCTTGTGATGCGGCCGATATTATGGTGGTATTTACATTGTTGTCAGATCTCTCCTTTTTCCGGAATAATAATGAACTTTGTTATTTCAAATGGATCACCCTGTATATTTTTTGCTTTTTGAAATCCTCAAGAAATACTGAATATTTTTCATGTCATGTTCCCTATACCTAAATGCCATGATTTCGGAGTTATAGCTACATTTACATTATCTTCGCCGAAGTTAAAATAATACATTTAGATGGCTATGATTGAATAAACTCGTTTAATTTGAATAATCTTCAATAACTTATATCCTGATAAAAATATCATAACAAGGTCTACTGTCAGTAAATTAGTAAAAAGTTTAACGAAACTGGTGCATTAAAAGATTTATCCAAATCATGGCGCAGAAAACCTAGAGCAACTGAAGAAGAATCTTTAAATGATTGAACATACCTCTAATGTTCACATTCGAGTAGTAGAAAAATTAGGAATTTTAGAAAACATACAGTAAAGGCGATTACAGCAGATGTTCAAAATGTTGTCCGTTTACTTACATATACTTTACAACTTATAATACAACAAGCCATGCGATTTTTAAAACTTTGCAATACATTTTGCAACATCCCTGACTGCTCAATTCTTCTTATCTCTGTGGTAATCCTATCTTTTAATTCCTGAATATTGGCGGTGTTGAATCCTGTGTGCAGCTCTCTATCTGAACTACCCGTTTAGTCGGCTGCCCCACGCGTGTTCACCGTCTTCTAAAGTGTGATTGAATGGATCTGACTCCGAAAGATCTTATGTTGATAAGTCGGCTGTACTGGAACCACACCGTTTTACACTTATCTTGATTATACCTATTGCATTATTCAAATAAGGTACACGAAGAATCGTCTGTTAGTTGTAGATGAAACTTTATTGATTAGACGTTTTTCTTGCTTCATCAAAAATTGACATACCTTTCAAAACAACTCAACACAGGGTATTCAAAATAATAAAAATACATCAACGTATAGAAACTATCCTGAACAAAGATTCTACTCCCAGATTCTTCAGGCGGGTTTTGTATTATAAACGATGTTTTACATCAGGAAATAGTCTAAAGGATTCATGTCGGGTGATCGCGGGGGCCATTCGATAAAACCATGCCTTCCAATCCACCTTCTGGGAAACACATTATTTAGGTATTGCCTCACCACACGCGCATAGTCAGGTGGAGCACCATCTTGTTGCAGCCAAATATTGTCGTTTGGGATATTGTTATTGTCTGAAAGTTTCGAATAATGAAATTTCTACATTAAAATGTAATTGGTAATACTTACTCGGATTTGGAAATAACTGAGCCAACTCAGGTATGATAGTATTTTCCAATAAATCTAAATACGCTGGACCATTTAATTTTCCCTCAATGGAAAAGGGACCAATTATTTTGTCGCCTATTATTCCAGCCCATGCATACATTCAGCTTTTGGGTGTGGGATTCACGCATCCAACGAGGATTGTTACGTGACCAGAATCTACAATTCTGCCGATTTACGTTTCCATTGATCAAAAAAGTGGCCTCATCGCAACACATAACATTACTTAAAAAATTTGGATCGTTTTGATTGTATCATTTTTCATCATTATGTCTGCAAACTCTTCACGTCTATCGAAATCATCATCTGACAACTCTTGAACTAATCTTATAGCGTTTTTCACTCGTCGCACTAGCTCGAACCTTTTCGACACTGAGTGCGTTTTGCGTGGTCCACTGAGAATTTCCAGACCGAACTTTTGTGGAGAAATGATTTCCACTGGCTTTCAAACTTGCTCGATGCCCGCTCAGAGTTCGAGTTTTCAGAACTGTGCTTGTACGACGGTGCGATACACATAACCTCAAATATTCGAGTCACGAGTAAGAAAATGTTTGGAATTTGAATATCCATGAATGCCTCATTGAAGTTAATTAGTAATTATTACAATAATTTCCGAAATCATATATATTTCGGATACAAGCGATGATGAAGAAGTTATGATTGAGATACAGAAGTACTTCATTACGTAACAGTGTTTATGGAAGATTCAAAATTACCTAAAAGTTGAAGAAAGCTATTCAGCTGTGCAGGTATTGAACATATTTGATTATTGATTCAGTAATGATGAAAAATACTAATTTCGTGAACGATATACTTCAATGCTACATCACTATTGTCGAATGATTCGATTGAACATCATTGACAATGAACATTCATATATATACAATACTGTTTCTGGCTGGTTTCTGGCAGTGTTCACAGGAAAACCACAATAAGAGGTAGATGAATCCATTTCATGTGGACCAACGGAACCAAATATGCTTTCAATAATTCAACTTTTTTATTGACAAAACAATTATTCTGACATTTCTGATGACAAGATGGTCGCACCAACTCTCTATTTCTATTTCACTGCTCTGTTCTGGAACCGCACTTTATGGAAGAACCGAGCCAGTGCCACTTGTTCTTGCTCGTTGCTAGTGCACTCTGTAAATCGGCGAGTGGAAAACGCTATTATTTTGTATGGATGGAATTTATTTTCACGTAAAATTTGCCTTACGGATGTTTGCGAAATATCAAGTTCCATGGATATTTGTCTAGTTCTCAAGTGTGGATCGTCTTCTACCAGGACATAAACATCTAAAGATTTGTTTTCAGTTTATGCAGTTTTTCTGCGTCCTGATTTGGATAAATCTTTCACTGAGCCAGTTTCGTTGAACTTTTTTACTAATTTACTGACAGTAGATCTTTACACGTTTCTTGTTGACTTCTATGCATATCAACATATCCTAATATCATTAAAATCTCATTTCGTTCTTCTTCAGATATACGATCCATTGTGACTTTCACTAAACACCAACAATACTAATTTATTGAAACGTCAAAGTTGTTATTGTAGCAGTCATAGCCATCTAACTGTATTATTTTAACTTCGGCGAAGATAATGTAAATGTAGCTATAACTCCGAAATCATGGCATTTAGGTATAGGGAACATGAAATGAAAATTATTAAGAATTTCTTAAGGATTTCAAAAAGCAAAAAATATACAGGGTGATCCATTTGAAATAACAAAGTTCATTATTATTCCGAAAAAAGGAGAGATCTGACAACAATGTACTACCATAATATCGGCCGCATCACAAGACCCTTGCACACCAAAATCTATAAAAATCGTGCAATCCGTTTCCGAGATAATTGAGGCGTTCCATACATAAAACTCACTCTGTATAACTGTTACTTTACGCCCGTCGTGCATGAAATAATAGATAATGTTCAACAGGCTGTTGAGAGAAAATTGATGAAAAATTGAAAATAATATATGTAGGTACCTAGCACACCTATTTGGAAAATAATTATGGATATTTTCAATGAATATTTTTCAGTTTAGCGCTCTACGAACTGATTAATTGGTCATATATTTACAATATTTCTAAAAAAGTTTCTGAGATGATATAAAATTGATATCATAAATAAACCAGTGGTATGTGGATGAATGATATTATATTCACACATGGGGATCACTATGAGGGGTTTTATTTGCTGTGAAAATCTGAAAATAATATAAGTATATTCATGTAAACAGGGTTTATCAGTTAACCCGTTCATTAGATGTTTTCATGAGGTCTCATGTTGAAATTGGTTCCGGATCACCCGGTATGTTTTCAGAAATTTATTCGAATGGAAAACTTCTACGAACGAAGAACGATTATGTTATGTAAAATCTCAATTTGTCAATAGCTATAAACTTATACTTATCTATGAATAGCCACTAGCTTGTTTATTTTCACAACAAATACCTATGTGGACATTTATGCTAATTCACATTTACAAGGCAAGTAGCTAAATAAACCAAACTTGTTCGTACCTTTTATATCGTCATCTTCTAATGTAGTGGAGCTATCTGTAGATTCCTTCACTTGAGAGCCTTCTCCTTTTTTCACTATTATACTCCGACCTAGAACATTAATATTCAATTAAGGGTTTCCTTTTGAGAAAACAGGAAACAGATAGGATCAAGAAATTTAAAAATCAAAATTAAGCCAATTCACATATTTTTAGCTTCAAAATGGGAAAAAATGAAGAAAAAACACCGTTTGCAATGATTCTCTGGGTATTTTGGGATGGTTGATTCGTGACTCAATACTGGACGAATCAAAGAGGTATTTTATGAAAAAATATTTAGAACTTTGAATTCATCCGTAGTATTGAGTCACTTTTAAAATCGGAATGTGAAAAAATAAGCCATATTTCATATGTGTGGTGCCTAAGGTGATGAGGTGGTGAAAGAAACCGTGGTCAAATAAGTTGTGATGGTGTTTTGAAACAAATCAGAAAAATTGCATGCATATGAAGCCACATCTTAGAAATCTCAATATAACCTCATCTTTCATTTCTGGAAACCTCTTAAATATGTACATTGTTCAAGGTAATGTTGTGGTCTTATCGTCAATCATATTTGTTTACTTCAAGAGGATTACAAATAGGTTCCTAGAAACCTATATTACATTAAGAGTGGGCAATAGGACTGGAAAAATGATGAATACAGCGCTCTCGCTCCTGACGCTTTATGGGAAAACAGTTTGGCATATAGTACATTTTTAAACGCCATAATATAGACAAAGGTTCAAATTAGGGCGGATACTATCTCATTTTTCAAAATTCGAAAGAAAAAAGTTTCAAAAATGTATTTGAATATAGCATTATTAGCTGACGAAAAAAAAATATTTATACTGCTTGTTCAAGATTTTCAGATAGTATCCGCCCTAGAATGAACCTTCAATATGTTACAAAAAAAAAATCAAATCATAATGTGGCTTGGTTTTTTCACAAAGCGTCAGGAGCCAATCCTCTGCAACCTCAAAAATAGGCATAAGTTCACGATGATATTTGCGCCCTCTGGTGAAAGTTATATCAGAAGAACATGGCAGTCGATATAGCCTTAGTTCGGGTGATTTGATGAAATATAGAAATAATGAAATTTAAAAAAAACCTATATAAATTCATGAAATTTCAAAAATGAACTAGTAGGTATTGATTACTTTGAGACAAAAATAATTTATTCTTCATACATTTTGAGAAGTATATCATTTAATAGTTCGTTCGTTGAATAATCTGATGCGTAATTTCACGCGAGTTCATTGCCTCAAGTGCCGGAGTGCCCATAATTTCGCTAAACGCAAAAAATCGTCTACAATAATAGAATACGTATAGGTGGTTCCCCGAACGGGTTGTTTTTTACACGGCGTAACATCCTGAGATGCAGGGTGATGCAGGATGCAGGTATACGTTTATGGTCAATGGAATAGAGAGCTTGAGGTTCTGAAATTCCTAGGTTTCACAATTTTGAATTTAGTGCGAGTGTAATATAATCGAGAATATAGGTCATTAATGATTGGTGACATTATAAAAATGTTCAACATCCTTTGAATGTTTACGAATCCAGGTAAAATGAATCAATGTTGAATATTTTCGTCATGTCAGTAGTTTGATCCGCTTTATGCAGAAACGTTGAACTTTGTATTTGGTGTGGAAATGTTTTTGTGTTTGTGACTATGTATTGAAAATGCCGCCTATAAAACCCAGGGCAGGTAATTATCGTAAGGGAGAAAAAACAAAATTACATGTGTCGACAAAAAGACGTAGCCGGACGTAGGATATCAAGGGGGAAGAAAAATATCAGTATCGGTCGAATGTTATGTTCATTCTCTTCACCCAGACACCCCTATTTTGGAATTCCAAATGGCACCCCCTACTTCGAGATAAATAAAATTCAAAGTCTAGCAATAATAACCAACCAGATGGAAAACTATCTTAGTATTTGATCTATAAATATCGGGACATAATCATTAAATTATAAGTTATATTAGGTCAGTTATTACAGCCAAACATTTTGTCAATTTTCATTGAAGGTATATCCTCAGATCAATTTTTGTGGAGTCACATGTGGAAACAATGGTTAATAAAACTCAGCCAGAGAATATATGGATGTACTCAAACTGATATATTTCTCGAAAAGTAGACAAATAAATGGGAAACCGTTTCAAAAAATGTTTCAAGAATTCTAGAATAGGCTGTACTATTGAGCATCAAATATTGAAGCATATTTTCGAATAATTGCTTCAAATACCTCTGTCAAAGATCACTCGCTCTCTCTAACTTTTGTTGATCACCAACATGAATCATTGAAATAAATTATCATTCATCTGGTCGGATTGGTTTTTGTTTCCGCCTCAATTTGATGTATCTCAAGTTGCCATTTGGAATTTTATAAAGTAGAGGTGGCGGGGGTTTGAAGGGATGATCATAGCATTCAATAGATACTAGTATTTTATTTCCTCCTCAATATCTGAATCAACCTATTTTTTTCCATAATTGTTATCATCGCACATCATAAGGCTAAGTGGTAAGTTTTGAAATCAGAGCTCTGTACTATGAATCGAGGAAATCGCCTATTTTGTAATATTCTCAGCTGAAACTGAATTTCAAAATGTTGTCTTCCAATGAGGAATTGGTGAAATAATCAACAATATTTCAATTTGTGCTAACTTAATCCACATCATAACATTTTTAACAATCAGGCATTTGATGAAATGTTGCCGCATATCATCGAGTTCAACCCGTTTCTATAAAGAGCACCGTACCATGTTCTTGACCTCACACAATATACCTATCAATTCACAAGTTCTTGCGCTACTGCTGCTGCTGTTTTATATTCCACTTCAGCTGTGCTCAAAGCAACATAGCGAGATAGTATCTAATGCTTTTCAAAGAACCAATATACTGATTTTTTTTCGACGGCTATAACACAAAATTGCTTTCGTTTTACTATGTTTGATATCACAATGACTTCATTTTGTTATTATTTCACAAATTCTCATCTCTCATAAAATATAAAATTTCAAGCAATGACATCAACTCTGTCTAATAGATCAGCATCACTAAAGAGTGAGCAATGAGCCGCACAAAATAACAAATTCAGCGCTCTCGCTCTAGACTTCCCATTTCGAAACCATTCAATATTTTCAGAATTTTTTCGATTCATGCTCTAGCCAAAGGATCAAACTAGGTTGGATACTATCTCATTTTTCGAATTTTGTTAAGAAAGAGTGGAAAAAACGTTCTCGAAAATTGCTCAAAATTAGTCAATTTGGCAAATAAAAAAAAATACGTGTACATGAAATTACCAATTTCCAAATAGTATCCAACCTAGATCTGTCTGTCAACAAACCACACAAAAAAAAGCAGCTCGAAATAGTGATCGATGCCTATACAGGACGTCAAGAGCCGTTGCTCTACATTCTCACAAATACGCACGATTTGGTCGATGATATTTGCGCCTACGTGAATCACCCTGTATAATATAACAGGAAAGTTAACTTTAACTGACGATACAGTTGAAATTCAAGAAAATAATGATTAAAGCCTACTCATAGAATCTGATGAGTCATTTCGTTTGCATCTTGGTTTTTTACTGCAGTAAATCTGTATATTATGTACCCTAATATTGGATAGATATCCTGTTGTCGATACTTCCCATATTACTTTTTGCTGATAGTATACACATTTTCCCGCGATTGGTCATCCAAATTTGAATCTTTCAGAATATTCACCGAAACCATAGACAATTGGAAGTTTGTGAAACCCATCGTGAACCCTCAAATCATCCGATGTTTATTGCATCTCCTCAGCCTGATAGTGTACCCATGATGGATGATATATCTCATGATCTATTTAAGAGAATAAAATCCTAATTTATCCACACCTGTCGACCAATGAAAAGTGTCGTAAATCTTCATAACATATGTAAACGTATAGGTAATATAGGTAGAATACATTTCGCTAGGAATCTGCTAGGCAGATTATTGGCAATATAAATAAATATTCGGACGCGGTAATCACCCCGACTAATTGGCGAACCGGGTGAGTTGTCCTTTTCTAAAAAGGATGCTTGTTGATTTATGACTGTTTTGTAACCGCCCACTGCTATCTCTTCCTAACCCCCCCGGACCTCAGGTATAGGCGAGTTTTGTCGCGTTTCTCAACCTTAAGGTTGAGAAACGCGACAAAACTCGCCTATACCTGAGGTCCGGGGGGGTTAGGAAGAGATAGCAGTGGGCGGTTACAAAACAGTCATAAATCAACAAGCATCCTTTTTAGAAAAGGACAACTCACCCGGTTCGCCAATTAGTCGGGGTGATTACCGCGTCCGAATATTTATTTATATTGCCAATAATCTGCCTAGCAGATTCCTAGCGAAATGTATTCTACCTATATTACCTATACGTTTACATATGTTATGAAGATTTACGACACTTTTCATTGGTCGACAGGTGTGGATAAATTAGGATTTTATTCTCTTAAATAGATCATGAGATATATCATCCATCATGGGTACACTATCAGGCTGAGGAGATGCAATAAACATCGGATGATTTGAGGGTTCACGATGGGTTTCACAAACTTCCAATTGTCTATGGTTTCGGTGAATATTCTGAAAGATTCAAATTTGGATGACCAATCGCGGGAAAATGTGTATACTATCAGCAAAAAGTAATATGGGAAGTATCGACAACAGGATATCTATCCAATATTAGGGTACATAATATACAGATTTACTGCAGTAAAAAACCAAGATGCAAACGAAATGACTCATCAGATTCTATGAGTAGGCTTTAATCATTATTTTCTTGAATTTCAACTGTATCGTCAGTTAAAGTTAACTTTCCTGTTATATTATACAGGGTGATTCACGTAGGCGCAAATATCATCGACCAAATCGTGCGTATTTGTGAGAATGTAGAGCAACGGCTCTTGACGTCCTGTATAGGCATCGATCACTATTTCGAGCTGCTTTTTTTTGTGTGGTTTGTTGACAGACAGATCTAGGTTGGATACTATTTGGAAATTGGTAATTTCATGTACACGTATTTTTTTTTATTTGCCAAATTGACTAAT